GCAGCATTATAAATGTGGGTGCTTCTGACCATGGCAGTTACAGTGCCATTATAGTGATGCTTCAGTGATCTTTAAAATTCTGCTCTCTTAATTGAACTGATCTCAAGAACATTCTCTTACTTACTGGAAAAATAACTTACACTGCAACTTAAAATGTTTTGTTCTTGCTTACCCCACAAAACACTTAGGGTTTTATTTCTTTGAAAGCCACTTTCAGTTGTTTCCTTCACTGATGGTACCTATTGAGCAAAGTGTTTGGTCACTGTTTGCCTGTTTGGCTGCATTAGGGTGGCCTGGCTTTTAAGGACAGCATAGTTCCTTCAGCAGAATTCTTCCAGCAAAACCCAGAGTAACTCCCTTATCATGAGGAAAGATTTATATCCTACTCAATAAAGAAGAAAAAAAATTTAGAGAGTAATGGATTCTGTTGATGTAAGTAACAGAAATAATTGTAATTAAGAGTAACTAAGAGAAATAACAATCAGTGTTTGCCATTAATGTGTGCTACTGTGCAACAGCTGCTGCCATAACATTTTATACATTTATTTAAATAGATACAAGCAATTTCAGATCTGAGGAGAAATGTTGTGGGTTTTATACTGTGCTACTGAATGTATTTTGGACTCTGATCTCGTATAGAAGAGACAGTATATTTGACTTTCAGATTTTGTTTCTAAAAGGTATAATAAACATATGGAGTGTGGAACCAAGTGGAGACTACATTGCCCTCTCCATTCTAATCCCAACAGAGGGGGAGAACATTGTGGTACTGAGACCATGCAGTGCCTGCCTGACAAGGGAGAATCAAGACGTTCTGCTGCTGAAGCCAACAGTGACATCGAACCCCCTCCTCAGATGCCAAGCCACAACCACCACCCCCTCCCATTACGTAGACCAATCAGAAATAAATGGTACCTATGACTGGAGCCACTCAAACTCCACCCAAACACAAACCAAGTAGTATAAAAGTAAGTTGGGGACAAGGGGAAAGTGGGAGAAGACCTCCACTGAAAGTGCTGGGACCAGTCGAGGGGTGGAGTCCATCTCCTCCCCCTGCAGAGGGACACCTTGGGTGAGAACTACACTCTACGTGCACTAAATGCTGCTTTTAGAACTAGGGCTTTTGTTTGTGCTTATCCCATAGCGTATTAGCAGATTGCTTCCTATCAGAGCTTGTACTTGCTTAATATCTGTATCAGTTGATTGCATTGTCATTGACAACCTTTGAACCTTATTAATCTGTCACCAATTGTATTAATGAGAAGTGTTATTCCATAAACTGGTAAAGTGAGTCCTTGCAGTTGCAGGGAGCAGAAAACACCTTGCCTGGACCTGCAGAGGGATCTTTGCTCTGTGGAGTCCCTCCTAACAGAGTGGTCGAGGTGCCCTCTGACCTTGTGCCTGTTGGTGAAGGGTCTCATTACGAGATGCTGATGGATTGTCAGACACCAGGGGCTCGACTTTCCTGGGGGCACTGAGAGGCAAAAATCTAAACTCCCACCTTTCCTTTTCCCAGAAATACTGGTGGGTGATTGGTGATTTTTTTCAGGATGATTAAGTAGTGTACAGTCCAGCCTGTTGCATACATTTCTGATTTTGGAAGTAAGGAGGGATTTTATTTTATATTATTATTTTGGTATTGTGAATAACTTTGTACATTACATTAGTTTAAAAACCAAACCAAAGCAAACCAAACAATACCCCAGAAATCTTCCCCACAACAACCCAGTGGTAGATATTTATCCAAACAATCCAAACCAAAAGGTTTTCTTTGGCTGGGGGGGACGAGTGGGAAGTGGAGAATGGGGGACAAAGTGTTAGGTGGAAGAAATGGCCATGAATTTTAGAAACAGCAATAGTCCTCTAAAATGTCCAAGTTTGATTTATAAAGGACTAAAATCTCTTAGATCTGCTGATAATTATTGAGACTGAAAGAAAGAAAATTGTGATCAGACAGCAGAAGTATTTACTCCTTATGAAAACTGAGTAGGTGACAGCAGCAGCTTCTGGGAAGGTATTGTACAGCACAGAAGAGAGAGAATTCCTGTCCTGTTTCCCAAGGTGTTGCTCTGAGCTGCTTTCTTGTTTTTTCTTATTCCAGATGAGGAGATGAACACATCTTTATTCCCATGTGGAAGAATGCATCCTAAAAGCATCCTAAAGCCAAACTAAGCAGTTACTTTGCTGTTTATTTTTTTCAGATCCAGGTGCTCACAGGAAATATTGGGTGGGTGGCTCTTGACAAGGGAATGGATAGAAATAGTTTGGGACTCAGAAGTGGTTATAATATGTGCTAAAACTAGATTGAAACACAAATAAGGACATTTTTGTGTTTATGTTCCTCCTAGGTTTCCTATCTTGAGAAACTCCTCAAAATGCCCCTTACAGACTTTGATTGTGTTTTCCTGTGCAGTTCTATGAGTTTAAGTTCCACTGTTATGGACCGTTGGAGATCTAGTGGTCAATAGTTTGATTGCTGTTACCTTGCCACACTTTAAAGGAACTCTACATGCTTTTAGGGAGCTGAAAGGAGTTCTGAAATTTGCATAAATGGCACCAGATCAAGGAGCTGAGTATAAGGCTTGAATCTGTATTTTGTTTTTCAATCAAAAAGTCTAAATCTATTAGTTATCATCTCTAGTGATAAGCCATTAGCCCAGGAAGCATCTTGTAAATTGTGTCTCTGAAACATTGTATTAATAGATACATTTTTTGGCATTACTTTGCTATTCTAGAAAACTGCCCCAAACCCCAGCTTTTATCTTAAGAAATTGTAATAGCAAATTGTACTTAAGTAGTGCCCAGTGTCTGCTTCATTTAATGACTTGTTGTTCACCCTCTCTGTAGTACCTGAAGTACCTCAGTGCATTTGTATCTGTTACTGATGGACCACTGTCTGCTATGGGACCAGAGATATCAAAAACCATTCCAGCATTTTCAATTCTTAATTGAATTTCAATGGGAATTTCTTTCCTGTCCTGTACTGGAAATAGCAGATCTGGGCTCTGGCATTGTGTCTGCCTCAGCAGCATCCTTAGGTAGTTTGTTGTTACATTTTCCTTGTGTGTAGTTACACACCCAAGTTTGTTCTCCCAGGTTCTAGAAGAAATTGTGTTCAGTTGTCCTTCAGCTGTTTCTGGGAATGCTGGTTCTGTGTCTTCCCTCCCAGAATCAGTAACTGGGAAGACTTTTCTGTCTAGTGCAAAGACTGAAATTCTTTCTAAGGGTAACACTTTACCTCAGTGTCTTGATCTAAAAATTCAGCTGGTTCAGCAGCCGATGACGAGGTGGCTGAGTTCAGCTGAGCTTCAGGAATTCTGAGGAGTCACTCTGTCTTTTTGAAATTATTTAATCATCTGTATCACAAGGATTTTTTTCAGTCATATATTCTTAGCTTCCTCTTTCCTAACCCAAGTCACAGCCTGTAAATACTTGGTAGTGGTTGAAAAGCCAAAAAGTCTGTTGTTCTCTATGAGCACCAGAATGTGGCTGGTACAGGTCTGTTGAAGAAATCCTCTCACATTATCCATGAATGCTTGTCCAGTTATGACTTCTGGTCACTGTTGCAGAAGGGAATGTGTAAGGTTTTTTCTTTTGATGACTGCTTTTGTCAGATTCAGTCATCACTTTTTTCAAAAATTCTGCTCCCTAAAATACTGTTTGTATTTGCTAAAACAGTTTTCCTTGCTTGATTTATTACAGTCCATGTAGTTCCCTAAAAGCTCAGTCTCTCTGTTATCCTTAAAATTTCTTTGAAGATCAATTTGATCTTCTTAGAATTATTAAAAGTAAAAAAAAAAAAAAAAAAGAAAGAAAGCATCTTGATTTTCACTTGAGCTTTTGAGCTTTTGATTGCAAAATGGGTCTGTGTGGTTTGGCAAAGTACCAGTTCTTTGGTTATATGCTTCCCTTTTGTTACCGTGGTAAATTCTCTTACTCTGAGTTGTGGTTGCTGATCAGATCTGAATTTGCTTGTTTAGTCCCAGAGGAGGAAAAGAAAAACCACCCAAGTCCCATAAACCCAAAAAAAGTCATTGCACAACCCTTATTGTTTGCGTATTAATTTAAAGAAATATTTTGGCATCCAAAGAAGAGAGCTGTAATTACAAGAGGATATTCTCTAATATGTATGGTCTGTAAGTGAGTTCACAAAACAGAAGCAGCACAGCTGGACCTGAGCAATCAAAAATGCAGAGTGTTTGAAAGAATCAGGTGTTGATCTTTGTTGGGTTGGTTTTACATTACTCTTTCTTTTAAATGAATGAGCTTCTAGCTGGTTTTGCCTTATATCCCGGGTGCATCAAACACAGCAAACACAGGGGTGGCCTCACATGGGTGCAGTTCTGGGCCCCAGGATTTAGGAAAGATGTGAAGGTCCTTGAATGCACCCATAGGAGGGCAAAAAATCTGGTGGAAGGGCTGGAAGGAATGTCCTGTGTGGAGGGGCTGAGGGCTTTGAGCTTGTCTGGTTTGGAGAAGAGGAGGCCAAGGGGTGACCTCAACACTCTACAGCTTCCTGAGGAGGGGACGTGGAGAGGGAGGTGCTGAGCTTCTCTCCCTGCTCTCCAGTGACAGCACGTGTGGGAATGGTTCAAAGCTGCACTGGGGGTGGGTGTAGGTGAGACATCAGGAAGCATTTCTTTACCAAGAGGATGGTTGAACACTGGAACAGGCTTCCAAGAGGGGTGGTCCTTGCCCAAGCCTGTCAGTGCTCAAGAGACACTTGGACAGTGCCCTTAGGAACAGCTTTAACTTGGTCAGCCCTGAATTGCTCAGGCAGTTGCACTGGAGGGTTGTTGTGGGTCCCTTCCAGCTGAAATGGGCTATTCCTGTTCTACTCTATTCTATTCTCTTTTGATGTGGGGTTTCACAGAAGTCAGAAATCGTTTATCTAATAGATAGTAGTTTAAAGGTGTGTATTTTTTCTGTTATTTTCTAATTGTTAACATCTTTTTACTTAAATTGCCTCTAGCACTGGAAACAAACATTCAGAAGGAAAAATGGATCCCTGGTCTTGGTCAGAAACTAATGGCTTTCGACTTTTCACCCCTGAGTCCTTGGCAGCAATTGAGCAAAGAATTGCTGAGAAAAAAAAGCAGCCAAACAAAGAAAAAGAGAAGAATAAGCACCAAGGAGTTAAAGAAGAGCAACTTACTCCCCAGCCTCATCTGAAAATCTGCAAAACACTGCCATCTCTTTATGGGGACATTCCAGCAGAGCTCATTGGGGAACCCCTGGAGGATTTGGATCCATACTACAGTGATCACAAGGTTAAAACTTCCCAAAGCATTTCTTTGATTTAACTTTGTCTGCTGGACAAGGTAGTAAAAGCTCTAGTTGGGAGATGCTGGGTTTTGATGGTTCTCTAGACAGGGCTTTCAGTGTTACTGACATCTTTTAGGGCAGGATTGCTAAGGTGTGCTCTGCTTTATGCCATGAAGATGCATCTTCAGTTCCAGTCAGCAGTCAGATTTAATTATGAGAACATACTACACATGATTGATACATTTCTACAGGAAATATATTCTAGGATGAGGGATGTTTTGTTTTCCAGAGCAATCCCTGTGATGCCTGTGAGGCTGAACTGCCTGTGCTGTAAACAGTGCCTGTCCCAGAGTAGATCATGCTGGAATTGCAGATGCTTTCTCTGAATTCCAAAGATTATACCAATTAGGGGAGGCATTTGGAGATATTTCCTGCACTCTGTATCGCAAACCCATGTATTTGCATTGTTGTAAATTAATTTTCTGTTAGATTATGTCTGGCTGTCTTTGTCTATTGTACCATATTTATATTGCATATCCCCCATGTGGGTGCAAAGGATTGGTGTTGTTGCCTCCAGGAGTGTCTACAGTGGATGCTCTAGGAATCTCTCTTCAATTAAATGTCTGCTGTATAATTGTTTACTGTTGAGGGAGACTTGACCTGAAGAGCAGGAGGTTCCGTGCAGTGCTGTGCTCTTCTCTTTATGATGTGCCCAGCAAGGCATTGCAATATAATAATTGAATCAGAGAACATGCAGAAGACTTTGTTCTTCCAGAGATTTGTTTTCTCCAAGTAATCAAAGTAATATTGTTGATGAAGAGAATGAGACTCTAAGGCTGATTCAGTTGAAGAAATTTTTATTAGGAAACTGGTTTTCATTCAAGATATTTTTACATGTAGCAAAAGTAGGGAGCTGGGTGGAACTTGAGGTAGCTTAGAAGTTTGCTTGTTAATTTAGGGCTACTTCAAAGTTTTAATTTTTCCTTTGCATGTCTGGGATTCTGGCATTCCTACCCAGTGTGTATTTTGCAAATAAGCTTTTGTAGCCTGTAAAACTATCCAAGAGTAAGGTACTTCTGAGTATGACTGTGACCATTGTTGCATTGTGACACTGAAGTCCTAGAATAGTAAGTACTATTTAATTGCTTTAAGTAGTTTAATTACTTTGACCAAGTGAATATGATCACTTGCTCTTCACATTCATTCTCATTACTGCTTCTTCCTCTCAGGCAATACTGCACTTTCCTAGAGCTGCTGTCTTTCCTTCAAAATGTGTATGGCCAGGTCACAGCTCCAAGTAAGAAAACAGGAAAGCTTTACTCGTGATTGCAGTTGGATACAGTTCTAGATGCAGACTTGAAAACCTGAATATTTTCTATTTTGGTGAAAATTTTAATTCATTTAAATATTTCATATCCTGTCCTATGAATCTGTTCTTTATAGACTTTTATGGTGCTAAATCAAAAGCAGGACTATTTTCCGGTTTACTGCCACACCTACCTTGTGGATATTTGGTCCTTTTAATCCAGTCAGAAAAGCAGCTATTAAAATTCTGACCAATTCATATCCTTTCATTGGTTTCCCTTATCTGCATTTTAAAATATTATGTACCATTTTCTGTCATTCTCTTCCTCTGTTTATATTAATATGAATGTATGCTTATACGTCTGTGATAGGTAGTTTTTTAAAAGTTATCTTGAATCTTATAACAGCTGAGATATTTCCATGATGTTGGTACAAGCTGATATTTAAAATCAATTTTGCAGATATTGGTATGAAACAACCTTTAGAGGCTATTGTATGATATTGTAGCCCTTTTCCAGAACTTGTTCTAAATCTCTGCTGTGGTCACAAGGTTAAATTAAAAACATACAAACAAACAAACAAAGCAAACCAGGGACTCCCTAGTTATTAAAATATGAAAGATGGGATTTATGCTGAAGCTCTGCTCATGTTATCCTAAGTAATGTGTTCCACACTCAAATTTAGAATGTTCTGAAGAGTGCCCGTCTTTCATATATTTGAAACAATATAACTGTAGTTCGAGGAATGTCAGAATGTGAAGGATTTGCAGGTGCCAAAACCGTCAACTGAGTAGTTTCTGCTTTTTCTGCTAAATATCTGTATTCATTTGGAATTATTAATTTGTGAAAATAGGTCCTTTTAGTGGAAATGACTTTGAATGTGTATTTCTGCTGTTAGAAATTTACTATATTTACTATTCACTTTCAAATAAACCCTACATTTAAGAACAGTGTTTGTTTAAAAAGAAAACCCAAAAGTTTTATAAGATGACAGGTGAATGTTTATGAAAGAAATGTTTTTTTTTATGCATGTTTTCATTCCCTACCACGTAAAGTGAGAAAGCTTTCTGAACTCCTGCAGAGCAGAGGGGTGTTTTGCTAACATGGATATGGAATCCCAGTTTCAAAGAACACTGGTTGTCAGTAATGAAGCTTTCTCAACTGGGTTTCATTATTTCATGTTTCTCCTCTCTTCTGTTAAACATGTTATGTCCCACTAAAGTTCTAACTTAGTTTCTTTGGAAAACACATGAAAAGTCCTGAACTTATTCAAAACCAAAGTCATTATTTGAAGATCTGTATGCCTTTTGTGTGGAAATCAGGACCTTCTATGAACTTCATTGTTTTATAATGTAGCATTTTTTCCTTAACTTACTATTCACATATTTTACTTGGCTTTATTGTATGTACTGTGTTACTCAATTGTATTCTACTGACTGTACCTGAGCTTACCAGCAGGACTCAACTGGACTGAGTAAGTATCTCAGTGGCTCTGTGTTCCCTCTTTTTCCATGGGTACTTACATGCAGGAGTGAAAAATTTAAATAATGTGGTGCTCTAATTCAAGGCCTTGAAAATTCTCAGACAGACTCTGAGGAAGACTGAGGATTGTTATTCTGTCTCGCAGTCTTTGGTGGAGCTTCAGTGCCTTTTCATAGAGGCTCACACCACATGCCCTTCCCTCTGTGTTGGCTAATTTTGCCATCTGGTGTGACATAGAAGGTTGCTCCATTTTTCATTTTAAGGACTGAGCCTTTTAGAGGACTGTGGGGAAGGATTCTGACTTAATATCTCTCCTTCTACAGCAATAACCTGAATGTCTGTTCTGGTTGGCTCATGCAAAAACTGGAAAGGGACAAATGTCCATTCTGTTCTTTCTTCCTGTTTCCTGGTGACACTCCTGGGTCAGTTGTTCCCATTAGAAAGGCATCTCTTTGTAATGTCTTGCTACCTCTTGTACCTGTGCGCTGTATCCAGTGCAACTTGACTTGTTCTAGAATTAAATCTTGAAAATGTCTCCAGATCCCCTTTTATCTTGGGTTAAGCATGGTGATAACAACAGCTTTATTTTCTGTAGGTTTGCTTTCAATTATAGAGTATTTCTCAGAATAAATGTATAAAATGTGCAAGCTTTACAGGCTGAAATAAGTCTTTGTTCAATTGCTCTTGTTCTATTGTTCTGCAAGAATGTTGAGGCTTTGTGATTTTCCAGCCTGCTTTAGAATATAAACACCATCTTAAAAATGTTTCCTAAGGAAGTGTGAACTGTCCTTCACTCAGAAATATGTGATATCCTTATGTGAACTTCTGTGGTTACAGATTTACTACCTGGAAGTCTTACTAGAATTCAGGAACACACCTTCTTATACCGATGATGCTTCTGAAAGTAATCTGTAATCTGTTCTATCATAGAAAATGCCTGCATGTGCCTGAATGTGACTCAATCTCATTAATACTTTTATTTCTATAAACTTTAATATATTCTTTCCTCCTCAGAATTGCTTTTACTGCCATATATACTACTGAAATATTGATAAAAATAGTAGCAAGAGGATTTGTTTGGAATGAATTTACCTTTCTTCGAGATCTGTGGAACTGCTTGGATCTTTCTGTTATTATCGTAATGTAAGTACAACTCAGTTTTGTTTTACACTCAAGACAAAAACCCAGATAAAATACCATTTGCTGAAATTCCTTAGAGTGTTTGGCATCCTACCTGCTAAAGAGTTACTGTGCTTCAACCACCGTTTGCATATCTGCAAAGAGAAAAATAGTCATAGGCTGGCTCAACATGCTCATGGTTTGAAAAGCTCCATCCTTGCCATTCAGTCATAGGTGCTTTCATTTTACAGGTATGTTACTATGTCTGAAACTATAGGCACTGTTTCAGCTCTTCGAACTTTCAGAGTACTGAGGACTTTGAAAGCCATTTCAGTTATACCAGGTAAGGAAGAATCTTACTGATATCCTCTCCATTTCACCAGTACACCAATTCTCATTCCTCTCCTGTTCTTGTCCTCAGTTTTCTGGTCATATTTTGTGACTGCTTATGGGATCCCAAGGTGTGACTGTTTTACAGTCTGTACTAACTCTCAGCAGCATCCTAACAGAATTTGTTTAATCATCTTCCTCCAAATGGTTTTGACAAAGGCAAATTTATTTTCTGCATTTTTTGTTCCATTACTAATGTTCCATTTTAATTATCCCGGTGCCTTTGACTTTTTACCTTTGTGTTCCTGGAGCAGCCTCCTCTATTTGATGTGTTCTCTTAATATAATATGGTTATACACCCATATTTCTGTTTCATTAGCTTCATTAGCTTGCTAAGATTCATTGGCTTAATCTCCTCTGGTTTCTTTCTGAGAATGCTGACTTCACAATATTTGAGACTTTCATCTGTTTCCTTACTGACCACAGCCACTCTCTGGATTCAGTGTAATACTTTCAGCAGGATGTTGCATATACCATCCAGATACTCAATATGTTTGCAAATTATGCCCCTAACTAGAATACCAAAGGATGATTTCAGAGTCTACCTGCAAAAATTCATTTGAAAATCTATCAATGACTACATATATTGTCATAATATATATTAACTTTACCTATTCTACGTAATTGTCAATATATTTTTGATTTTGCTCTGGGATTATAACAGGAATGAAACATAGAAAGTGTTTGATTTCAGTGTCAAAACCACACAAAACATTTTCCTTTCATATCCAGTGTGGAGAACAGAGATCAAATACAATGTGCCTTTTTTTTTCTTGTAAAAAATCCTGGATAACACTGTCTGCTTATATCATATTTCAGATTCAATTTTTCTGCCTCAGTATTAGTCTTTAGTTTACATAAAAGGCATTTTCTCAGAATCCCAGAATGCTTGAGTTTGAAAGGGACATCTGGAGGTCATCTGGTCCAGCCTCACTGCTCCAGCAGGGTCACTGAGAGCTGGTTGCCCAGGGCCAAGTCCAGACAACTTTTGTGTATCTCCAAGGACTGAGACTCCACAACCTCCCTGGGTAACCCGTGCCAGTGCTCAGTCACCCTCTCAGTACAAAAGTGTTTCCTGATGTTCAGATGGAACATCCCATGTCTCAGTTTGGACCCATGGCCTCTGGTCCCAGCACTGGGCACCACTGAAAAGCCCCTGGATCCATCCTCTGTGCACTCTCCCTTCAGAAATGTGCATCCATGGAGCAGATGCCCCCTGAGCCCTCTCTTCTCCAGGCTGACCAGGCCCAGCTCAGCCTTTCCTCCTGGGAGAGCTGCTCCAGTCCCTTCACCCTGTCTGTGGCCATTTGCTGGACTCTCCAGTATGTCCATGGGCCAGAACTGGAGCCAATACTCCAGCTGTGGCCTTGGCAGTGCTGGGTGGAGAGGAACCATCACCTCCCTTGACCTGCTGGCTGTGCTTTGCCTGAAGCAGCCCAGGATAACAGTCACCCTCTTTGTCATTGTAATGTGTATTTGGCACAGGGTGAAGTACTTGTTTAGTGTTAATCAAGCATAGAAACCTGACCCTATTCATTAAAGTTTGTAAGACTTAGTTCTAAGATACCATCTTAATTTAGAATTCTGCACAGATAGCAAAATTAGTGTTAGTACTAAACAGAAGCCAAAGAAGTTATGGTTAGGAAACTTGGGGAAAAAAAGATTTACTCACCCTTGTGCTTTCTTTTGCCTCATTTGATACTAGGAAGTTACAAACCCATTGACTCTGATTGCTTTTAACCTACTTGCAACTGCTGTGTCTTGTCATATGGGAATGTCACTGCATTCCTCTTCTGATTTTGCATTTTATTGGATCTTCTTTTTCTAGGTCTGAAAATCATCGTAAATTCACTTGTTGAATCTGTTAAGAAACTTGCTGATGTGTTGATCTTTACTGTATTTTGCTTGAGTATATTTGCTCTGATAGGCCTTCAGCTTTTTATGGGCAATTTAACATCCAAATGTGTCCTCAATAATATTTTGTACAATGACTCCTTATGTAAGGATCCCAAGATCTATGTACCAAGTGATGAAGGTAAATGTTGCTCTTTTCTCCCTTTACATAACCTGTGTATATTCCTATGAATGTCTTGGATTTCAGAGGAATGTTAAACTACATTTCCATGTATTTCTCCCAACGGAATGTGAAATTAGTGAATCTCAGATTTGGAGAAAGATCAGCAGTCTGTGGGATAGATGGGGCTGAGTTTACTATAAGCATTTGCCTTTTTACCTGTTCATTGCACGGAGATCCTAATTTTAGGGGTACTGCACAGGGAATGGTTATTTTTGCATCACTTCTTCTATATTTCAGGGATTTTGCCTACTTCTCACTGAGATTCTTATTTTTACCAGAGACCAAATGAAATCTTATCACTGTGAGTTGTACAGTAAATAGTTGTTATTTTTTTAAATCTGTCATAGAGACAGATTTGATGAGAATCAGCCCTATATGCTGTGAAAGGATCCTTCCCAGAGCTTTGATCCATCAGGGTTTTTATAAAGTGCAATAAATGTGTGGTTTCCTGTCAGAAGGCTGTGGAAACTGACAACTTCTGATTTTATGATTCCTTGATTTATTTTTTTATTAGATATCTGCCACAGAATGACATGGCTCTCCTGACATATTGCTCTGTGGGTTCAGTTCAAATCCTGAGTAAGTGAACAAAGTAGTTTTTGTAGTTTCTTAATTTGTTCCTCCAGATGTACTGTGGTTTTATTTATGGTCTAAAGCAATAGTGATGATTTTTCAGGAGGGTAGGGTGTGTGTGTGTGTGTGTGTGATTAAATTAAAAGTCAGATATTTCACATCAGGAAAAAAATGAAGTACAAACATGAAAACCAGTTACATATGTACATTTTTGCTAACCACTGGGAATGTAATGGTAAGGTAGAGTTATATAAATGAGGAGAGGAAGAGATCAGTAAAGACTGTTAGATATTAATAAACTCTCCTCTCTTCATTTTGGTGAATTATTTAAAAGTAAAGATAATTCCATTTTTCCCCTCTCTGTGTATTTGTTTGCACATATCCTACATCAGGGGACACTTTTTGTCTGGTTTTCTCTGATTAGACAAAAGGCTTTCTAGGATGGTCTGATATAAATCAGCCCCTCTGGCAGAATTAAATTGGAGAATAATGAAATGGACTTTCAGATAAACTGAACAAATTTGGTGTTCTCTATTGGGTGCTTTCAGGTGCCATTAAATCTCCAAGTAATTGTTGTTTAATATTTGTTTTGTGGTTAGGAAAGAGTGCCCAGAAAACTATACCTGTCAGAAGATTGGGCAGAATCCTGACTTTGGTTATACAAGTTTTGATCATTTTGGCTGGGCCTTCCTCTCTGTATTCCGTCTGATGACACAGGATTCCTGGGAGCGTCTCTACAGACAAGTGGGTACTTTTATTACCTGCTGGAATGACTTGACACATGCAATTCAGAGCTTTATGTCCACTAGAAAAATCTGTACTGGTTTCAACATTACTGACACCACATTTCCTTCAAAATCCATGTAAAATATTAAGGAAGTAGGTTCAAGTGACTAAGTTGTAACACCTTCTGCAAGGGACATTGAATGGGAACAATCCTGCTGTGAATGCCCAGAGTTCTGTAGGAGAACACACTGGGGTGAGTGGTTAAGAGTGAAATATCAGCATGGAACCTCCAAAGGATTGGGATATACAGCAGATCCAGGCAGTGAGCTCACTGCTGCTGCAGGGAGTGGGAGGACTTGTTGCCTTCTCCGTTCCTCTTCCTTTTAAGTCCTGGCTCCTCAGCAAACCTTTTGGCTCAACACTTTTGTTTCAGTTCACTTTTGACAACTGGTACTAAAATTTGGAGGCTTGATGTTTTGATTCCAAGAGTTGAATGTAACTTTTCAATTCTGGTTGAGTTTTTTTGCAGAAATGATACAAAAATGCATGTAGACAACTCTCCAGATCCCTTATGTCTATGCAGTGCCTTTGCTAGACAAAAATTATCCTCGGCCATTTTCTGTAACTTTCATATTGTCCATTTTAACTTTTTGTTCCATCAACCTTTATTAACTTAAGACTTCTTTTCTAAAATAGATCTAACTTCTTTTTGCCATTTGAATGTCTCAGATCTTAATTTTCACCCATCTCCTCTGCTGCTATTTAAACAAATGTAAGAGTAAGGTAATCAGTCTCAATATTGACTCTGATTCTGTAATTTTAACATCTTTCATGGTTGTTTAGGTAATGCTAGCTTCCATTGTTATTTCTGAGTTTTATTAGTTTCTTCTGTAGTCACCTGGGCAGCTCTTTACAGCTGAAGTTTTCTTCTCATAAGTTAACCTCTGATGTTCATTTACCTGATTTGCTGGGAGACATTTACTTTAATTTTAAGAGTGGGTCTTATTAATTCCTTTGTGCAGTTTATGGTATTGTTATGAATGTCTGAGATGATCTGTTACATAAAAAGAAAACATGATGTGAACATAGAGAGGATTTAAAGAGCTCAAATGTATTTACTTCAAGGCCAAGGGAACTCTTGACTTGGTGTATTTCTAGACCTACTGTATAACTTAGACCAGAGGCAGGTGCTACTGTTGTTTAATGAAAATAGTGCAGTATGTTAACCCTCTGTATTGAATAGGAAAAGAAATCTTTAGAATTAGTGTGAAATTGTATTGTAAATATTACTTTGTTAAGAATATATCACAACATTTACCTTTTCCTCACAGACTATCCGTACATCTGGAGTGTCCAGCTTTTTTTTTTTTATGGGAGTCATCTTTTTCTGCTCATTTTATCTCTTCAATCTGATCTTGGCTGTGGTAACAATGGCGTATGAAGAGCAAAACGCAGCTGCAAGAGAGGCCAAGAGAAAACTACTTCAGGATGCTCAACAAATTATAGAGAAAGAACAGGTTTGTAAATTATTACACATCACATGTGGTTCCCTTTGTTTTCCTCTGTATGTATTAGGGAAATGATGTTTTGAATTAAACATGTGCTTCTTACAATACTTTCTCACACCTTCTCTTTGTGTCTGTATAAATGCATGAGTGTATGTATATATGTATTGCAATATATAAACATCTCTGTGATAAAAAAACCCGTAATTAAATTTGAGGATTTGCAGATCTGACATTGTATAGGAATGGCTTGCTGGCAAGTTTGTAGCTTTTATGGTATTGCACAGGTGCTGCACTCCATGGTTTTCCCCGTTCTTGTACACTACCATTATTGCTGTGGACAGAAAGTCCTTTCTCTGGGTATTCCTTCTTGCTATCACTGTGTAGTCTCATGAAGGAAATATGAGCGGATACATTTACATCCAGGAGAAAAAATGTCATTTCTGCAGTTCCCAGAATTTGGAAGTTGCAGTGCTGATAGATTTCAGGCCTGGTTAAAATACCTTCCAAGAGCCACTGTGCTCAACATTTTAAAGGTTGTCAGGCCTCTTTTTGAGTGACTGCATGCAGGAGGTCTATCAGTTGACAAGAGCAGGAATAGCTTTAGCCAGGATGATGCTGTTGGTTTGATATAAAGTTCCACACTGACATCCAGAGACTGCATTGGTTTCTTTGCTGTTGATTTGCAGAGTTAATAGACACACATCAGATTTCCACAGTGTTTCCTCTTGACATAGTATTGTTCCAGTCATTCATGCCTTGGTCTGTAAGGGACCAGGGATCACCTGTTGTTATTTCTGATAATCATTGAGTCATGAAATCAGAGATGGGTTTGGATTGCAAGGGACCTTAAAGATCCTCCACCCAGGATGGGCTGGAACACCTTTCACTAGACCAGATTGCTCCAAACCACATCCAGCCTGGCCTTGAACACTTCCAGGGATGGGGCATCCTGAGCTTTTCAGGGCAACCTGTGCCACTGCCTCACCAACCTCCCAGCAAAGAATTTATTCATAACATCTAAATCTCTTCCCTTTAAAACCATTTGTCCTTGTCAGGTCACTACCTGCCCTTGTAAAAAGTCCCTCTCCAGCTCTCTTGGAGCCCCTTTGGGTACTGGAAGGGGCTCTAAGGTCTCCCTGGAACCTTCTCTTCTCCAGGCTGAACGACCCCAACTCTCTCAGCCTGTCTCCAGAGCAGAGGTGCTCCAGCCCTCAGAGCACCTTCGTGCCCTTGGGCAGGTCCATATCCTGCTGATGTTGGGGGGGCCCAGAGCTGGACACAGCACTGCAGGCAGGTTCTCATGAGAGGGGAGCAGAGAGGGGACTCACATCCCTTGACCTGCTGCTCATGCTTCTCGTGATGCAGCCCAGGACAGTTATTTCTGGGCTGCAGGCACACGCTGCTGGGTCATCTCAAGCTTCCCATCCACCAGAAGTGAAGCTCTAAGCTAGGGCAACAAGATGGGTTGAAAATTATTGGTAAGACCTATTGTAGCTTGTAACTTTTTATAAAAGATTATTTTTATAAAAGTCATATTTGTAAGGGGACATACAAATATTCTCTAGCAACTATCCAATTTCATCATTAAGGTTTAAGGCATCACCATTTTACCAAGTTCCTCCTCTGCAGCTGTTGGCAGGTCTATAATGTTTCCCTGCCTGACATTCCAGCTTGCCAAGCTTTATTTAGGTTTTTCTTCCTTCTGTTTTCCTTTTGACAGGATTAGTATTTAAGAAAAGGATTTAGACTGAGCCTTTAGTGTTGTGTTGTCTTTGGACTCAAGGTCCTTTTCAAAGCAAGAAAAGGGAAGGAAAAGGATACACCATAATATTCTGTAATTCAGAGACAAAACATCTCAAGTGACAAGGGCAAACTTTAATTTTAGGCGCTGACAAGTAACCCTGTTTTGTCTTTCAGTATTGTGAATAGAATTTTGTACTCCTGTCTTTTTATAGCAGTTTAATGTTGGAAAGCTAGGAACTGTTAGTGTAAAGCATTCAGACAACATAATAATTTAATGAGTAAAAACTCAAAGTAAAAATTATCCAAGTCTGTGTGTTGTCATTTACCTTGTGTTCATAGACAGACCTTTGGCCTTTTCTCTTACAGGAGTTGGCTGCAGGAGAAAGCAGTAAGGCCTTGCAGGTTGAATCTGAAATGCCAGTTGCTGACTTGACAAATTCCAAAGGAAGAGAGAGTAATAAAGAAACACCTATTTTAGGACAAAATGCAATTTCCATTGATCAGAAGAAAGAGGAGGAAATATTTCATTCACAGCCTGGTCACTGCCCCAAGGAGCTTGTAAGTATTTGAAATAGAAGATTAATTCATTAGACTTAGGTGTGATAGGACAATTCAGTGAGCAGAAAAGCTTTCTTTCTTTGCAATTTTTTCCCTCTGTTTTATTTTTTTTTTCTCCTCCTTGTATTCATTGGAGTATCTTGTTTTTTAAAGAAATCTGAAAATTGTATTTTGGGACGTTAGTAGTACATATTAGTATTTCATATTAAAATAATTTCATGTTAAAACAAACAAACCAAACAAAAGAAAGCCTACAACATGATCGAAGCACTGTGAGATGCTCTGACATAGAGTTCTTTCATTAGTCAAGTAACTGTAAACTGCAACAAAGGTGGCAATCACTGATGGTTTTGCAACTGAGGACTTTTCAAACAATGTACTTTCATCATAAAAGAGGCTAAAGATGTGAAGTCAAAGAGAAAAAAGCCTATCAGGTAGAAACAATTTGGTAGGACTTAATCAGTTTTAAAAAAACTTGAATGGACTATTCCTCTAGTACAGATCCTTATTTTAAATCCCAGTTTCTCATTCACAGTTGTTTCCCTCAGCTAAAGACAGATGAGCAGCAGTAACCAGGTCAGTGTTGGTGAACTCCCTTGTTCCTTTCTAAAAGCAAACTCTGAATGCTTCTGAGCAGCTGTGAATTTCAACAAGAAGACCGAGGGCTTCAGTCAGACTGGCACACAAATGTTTATGTGTTTCTGTCTTATGAGATATCAACCATTAGAGAAAGCACTGGGAACTGGGATGTGATTAGAATAGTCTAAATGAGCCTTTTAGACTCAATATATAACAATACAGAGAGAAAAATTAAGACTTTAGCACTATATTGTCAATTCATTTGGTATGTCCATTCTATGACAGTTCATATCAGCTAAGTTTTGGTTATTTTTTCATTAAAATATCGAGATGGCAAAGAGAAATAATGATTACTAAACCCCTCAGGGCAAGGATATCAGTTTCATGCCCTGAATAACAGTTTTCTAGAATAAGTAAATAAAAAGCATCATATCATAAAGTTTGAAGTAATGATATGATATATCCTTACTTCTGTACCCTTCCCACAAAAAGAAAATGAAGCAAATCAAGTTGTGCTGAGAGGAAATACCAAGGTACTGGGCACTGTCATGTGGTCAGTCTGTCCACTCCCAGTCTGTCAAGGTTTCCTGTCAACTGGTAGGTCTAATTATATCCTTCCTGATACCAGAATGCTTGTTTGGTTAGAGCCTGGTGCTAATAACACCAAGGTTTTGGGTTCAGTCCCTGTGTGGGCCATTCAATGAAGAGCTGGAGTTGGATGATCCTCGTGGGTCCCTTCCAACTCAGGGTATTCTGTGAAATTGCAGTGAAATTCTTTCTGATTTTCTCTGTCTCAGAGTCTCACATATTCTTTGCAGCCCATGTTATGTGACTGTCTACTTAATCTTGAGAAAGTGTGTGTGTTAATGTGTCATGATCTGAATATTTGATAATAATTCAGTGTATCCCAGAAGATACAGTTGTTGACCTGTCTGTCCTTGAGCTCACGTCAGGAGCACTGAGCTGAGCATTCTGTGGCTTCTGGTGAAAACAGAAGTAATGCCATTCCTAGTTTTGGGCAGTTCAATATTAGTAGAGATCTAGATAGGCCTGGTAGTGCTGGAAAAATAATAATTTTTATTATTGACAGTTTTTCCTATTCCCTTGGTATATTCTCTTCTGTTGTCTTTCTAACCAAAGAGGCAGGTCCTGCTGTCTCGTGATGTGTCAGTGGACTCTATTAACTGATCCTTTGCGAAGACAGAGATTAATGAGTGCAGCTGCTATTCTTGCAGATTTTTCAGGTAAGTCATTTTTCCTATGGGATTGTGTAATGTGACCTGAGGGATCAAACTGTCTCAAACACTCAGCATTATTCTAAAAGCCACTAGGGAAATTATGCACCAAATGTAAATTTCAGTAAACTAAATATTCTCATAGCTCATGTAATTGTGACTGTAACTCCCAATAACCAAGGGCAAATCATGCCTGACCAACTTGACTGAAAGAAGAGAATTTCAAAGTGTGTGTAAGCAGAAACATTTCCCATTTTCAGAGGAACAGGTTGTGCAGTCTCTGATCTGATGATGTCTGACCCTGCTTTGAGAAAGGGATTGCACTACAGATCTGCTGAGCTCTCTTCCAGCCTCACTTATAACCCTGTCCTCAGCTATGGACACCTGTGGCTGTGCAGATTCAATTCACAGGAAACAGGCTGTCATTTTCCCTGAAACAGTGACTTCTCTCCTTAATGCAGATCCTTTATCATCCTTAAATAGTGTAATCACAGAATCATGGAATATGTTGTGCTTGAAGGTTCTTAAAGATCATCTTGTTCTTACCCCCTGCCATGGGCAGGGACACCTTCCACTAGACCAGGCTGCTCAGAGTCCCGTCCAACCTGGCCTTGAACACTCCCAGGGCTGGGGCAGTCACAGCTTCTCTGGGCAACCTGTGCCAGGGCCTCACCAGCCTCACAGTAGAGAATAATAAACAGATGAAGAGGTGGGTAATATCCCCTGTTTCTGTCATTGTAAGATTTGTTGATTCTGACCTGCAATAGCCTGTGATTAGTTTGTGTAGTAGGAGTGAAACAACTTTCTTTCAATGATGCCATTCTGCTCACATGAGATTGATGGTTCTTTTCAATCTTTTCTCTGACTGATTGTCTTTCTCTTCCCACTATGATATTCATCATAGGACTATTCATATGTCACTTTCCCTCTTTCTCTGCTAGGGTCAAAAGAGAAACGTCCTGCATTGTCGAAACGTTTTGGACAAAAGTGTCTAATTTGGAATTGTTGTCCATTCTGGAGAAGCAGTCAAAGAGAAGATGAAACTGGTTATTTTGTATCCATTTTTTGATCTCTTTATCATGATTTGCATTATCTTGAATACCTTATTTATGGCTATAGAGCACCATGGCTTGTTAGAAGATACCATACCACTGATTACTGTAAGTGACGAGGTAAGTGAGGTCTACGTTAGGGTGAATATGGAGTTATAACCCTGTATTTACACTGGAACAGTCCCATAAGGAGACAGACTCCTTGAATGACTCTTTTCTGAATTTCTTTTTTGTCCTTCCAGGTCTTCACCCTGATTTTTACACTAGAAATGATCTGGAAAATCATTGCTCTAGATCCCTACTACTATTTTCAGAACAAGTGGAATGTTTTTGATAGTTTGGTTGTTTTGATTGGCCTACTGAGCTTTGGAACCAGTTTGTTACCTTTCCGGGTGGTAATGATTTCTTTATTATTTTTTAAAAGCACATGTATTGTATAGATTTGTAAAAGGTTACAGGGAAATACCCTCTCATTATTTTACTGATAAAATTTCCCATTTTCAGAGGAACAGGTTGTGCAGTCTCTGACCTGATGTCTGACCCTGCTTTGAGAAGGGGATTGCACTACAGATCTGCTGAGCTCTCTTCCAGCCTCACTTATAACCCTGTCCTCAGCTATGGACACCTGTGGCTGTGCAGATTCAATTCACAGGAAACAGATTGTCATTTTCCCTGAAACAGTGACTTCTCTCCTTAATGCAGATCCTTTATCATCCTTAAATAGTGTAATCACAGAATCATGGAATATGTTGTGCTTGAAGGGTCCTTAAAGATCATCTTGTTCTTACCCCCTGCCATGGGCAGGGACACCTTCCACTAGACCAGGTTTCTCAGAGTCCCGTCCAACCTGGCCTTGAACACTCCCAGGGCTGGGGCAGTCACAGCTTCTCTGGGCAACCTGTGCCAGGGCCTCACCAGCTTCACAGTACAAGAATAATAAACAGATGAAGAGGTGGGTAATATCCTCTGTTTCTGTCATTATGACATTTGTTGATGGTGACCTGCAATAGCCTGTGATTAATTTGTGTAGGAGGAGTGAAACAACTTTTCAATGATGCCATTCTGCTCACATGAGATTGATGGTTCTTTTCAATCTTTTCTCTGACTGATTGTCTTTCTCTTCCCACTATGATATTCATCACAGGATTATTCATATGTCACTTTCCCTCTTTCTCTGCTAGGGTCAAAAGTGAAATGTCCTGCATTTTGGAAGTGTTTTGTACAAAAGTGTCTAATTTGGAATTGTTGTCCATTCTGGAGAAGAGTCAAAGAGAAGGTGAAATTGGTTATTTTGGATCCATTTGTTGATCTCTTTATCACAGTTTGCATTATCTTGAATACTTTATTTATGGCTATGGAGCACCCTGGAATGTTACCAGAAACCAGAAAACTGATTACCATAAGTGACGAGGTAAGTGAGGTCTACATTAGGGTGAATATGGAGTTATAACCCTGTATTTATACTGGAACAGTCCCATAAGGAGACAGACTCCTTGAATGACTCTTTTCTGAATTTCTTTTTTGTCCTTCCAGGTCTTCACCCTGATTTTTGCACTAGAAATGATCTTGAAAATCATTGCTCTAGATCCCTACTACTATTTTCAGAACAAGTGGAATGTTTTTGATAGTTTGGTTGTTTTGATTGGCCTACTGAGCTTTGGAACCAAACTGTCACCTTTCAGGCTGGTAATGATTTCTTTATTATCTTTTAAAAGCACGTGTATGCTATAGATTTGTAAAAGATTACAGGGAAATACCCTCTCATTATTTTACTGATTGTCGTGGTTTTGCTCTGGGCCAATTTTCTCTCACCTCCCACACAATTACTATAAGTTGAGAGAAGGTTTATACAAACAAAAGAGATCTGATTGGGGAGAATAATATTAGGATTTATTACTAGCAAGATAAAAAGAACTATATCTACAGCAATTCTAATTAGGTAAACATGCTATGTTTTTACAAAAATACCCCTCCCCTATTTGTATCAGTTCAGGAGGAGAAGCAGTCTTTGTTCCATTTCTGGAGCTCCAGGTCTTCTAAATAATTTTGCAACATTTGAAAGTTCTTATTCTATTAGCTCTAGGATGACAATTCCAATTCGTTGCAGCTGGAACTGTTTCTTTTTCTCTCTCTCTTCTATGTCGGCCTCAGGACTGGGCCTACCCCCCTCCTGGGCTACGATCAGAGGCTGGGGGTTACCCAGGCCCTGTAGGGTCTTCCATGGACTGCAAGGAGACACTTGCCTACCATGGATCTTTATCATAGGATCACAAGGGATAATGGCTTTTGAGTTCACCCCTGTTTCTTGTGAGGTCTCTTCCCAAGGGAGAACAGTCCTTGATGGACCTCCCCAACATGGGTTCATCCCTTGGACAACAGTTCTTCCATTCTCTGCTGTCCCTCAGGGTCACAAATTCAGCTGCACCAGCAGGGATCCCTCACAGAGATCCCAGGCCTACCAGGGCCATCTCACTCCAGAACAGGTTTCTCTTTCTCCATGGGCCACAGGTCTCTAGCAGAACTTTGTTTTCTCTAGGCCTCCCACAGAGTCACATTTTCTTCATTCACTCCTCTGCTTCGGCGTGGGTTCTTTCATAAGCTGCAGAGGGTCGTCTCCTCTCCCCAGCAGTTTTCCACAGGTGGCAGGGATTTTAGTTTTCAGTCTTTTCCCTGCTGAAGGGAGAGAGAGAGAGAGGGGGAGTTCCCCCTCGCCCTTCGTGGCTTTTTCTCTTCTCTCCAGCTGCCAGCTTTGACCTTGGATGCTCCATTATCTCAGCCTGGAATTCCTTCTGCAGTATGTCTTGCCCAGGCAGTTTTTCTCTAAAGTTTTTTTTTTTCCTACTCTGTTACAGGAGAGAAGGGGGGCTTCAGTACTACACCTGCCCCCAGTCCAGGGTTGGGGCAGGAGGGGGCCCTGGCCCGCTTGGGGCTTACCACCTTTCCTACGTGGCTACTAATTTCATCTGCACATCAACCTTCTCTTCCGTTTTTTTAAATATGTAATTGGCAGAGGAGTTACTAAAACTTTTGATTGGCTTTTTCTCCGGAAATTCACCTGGAGAAAACCATTTTCAGCCCCAGAGGAGGATGGGGGCAAACCCATGACACTGATAAATCTGTCAAATCAGTTCTCTTTGTTGGTAAGTAGTTAGCAAACATGAACATTTAATTCAAGTGAAAATTAAATTAATATTAAAGAACACTTTCAATATGTTTCTTATACTGTGTATATTGGACACTACAAATCCTCTGGCACAGTCTGCTCCCAGGGAGATCTGACCCAGCAGAGAGTTCACTGGTTCCCTGTTAGGTTTGTACAGGGGCACTGCTCAACTACACTTCAGACCTACAATCAGGAGCAGATATTATCTGAGTATTTCCTGAGCTTAAGGATAGCAAAGGTTCCGTCACAGCTTTTCCTTTTGAGCTGAGATTTGTGAAATAACTGAGCTTTTCTCAAGGCTTAGTCTTGGCCTTGAGGACTCTGCAGTGCTTTCCTTCATTCTAGGGAAAAGGAGAAATCATTCTGAGGCATCTATGTATAATATTACTTTTGTGCTTATGTCTTTAATGCATATTTATAATGCTAAATTGATTATTTACTTCAAAATTTTTCACAGCATTTCAGAGTCCTCACACCTACTCATGGGGGTATATAGGGTAGGTCCCATCTGGCTTTTCAGATCCTATTTCAAGTCTGTTTGGTGAGAGGTGTAAAAAAAAAATTTGTCTTTTACATTCCATCTAGTCCAAAACTCAATCATTTAATAACCTTCATCCATGTATCCATAAAATATTTATATTCCTGTTCTTTTTATTGTTAATTATATTATCAGACTGGCATATTCTCGTATCTAACTTGGCACAAACAATTTGAAACCTTTCTTTGATAGTTCTCTGCTCCAAATAACATTAACTCTTGAGGCTTAAGCACAGCACTTTTACATCAAAACAATTAAAAGCCTTTCTTTTTGGGAAAAATAATTACTGCAATAAAGGCAGCATGATAAATGCAGGGCCTGGGTTTTATGAGGGCTGTGTTGTCTGGGCTGTGTTTGACCTTTCCTTTTTTCTCTTGTGCTTTATTTACAGATCAGGATCTTCAAATTGGCAAAGTCCTGGCCAGCCTTGAATACTCTTATGAAAATAATTCTGAACTCATTTGGTATTCTGGGTAACCTCATTCTGATTTTGGCTATCACCGTATTTATTTTTGCTGTAGTAGGAATGCAGTTTTTGGGCAGTGATTATGAAGAACACTACTGTAACATAAGCACCAGTGGGGATTTACGCTGGCATATGAAGGATTTCAATCATTCAATTCTGATTATATTCCGAATATTATGTGGAGAATGGATTGAAATGATGTGGGAATGTATGGAAGTGGCTGGAAAACAGAAATGTATTACCATTTTCTTGCTAGTCCTGGTGATAGGAAACCTGGTGGTGAGTTTTAAGCTGATTCCCAGTCCCTACTGAATACACCCAGTTACACTGGCAACTGATTTTTTCAGAGGCAAACTTTATCATTTCAAGAGTATTCACACTATTCTCTTCTCTTTTCCACTGATTTTCTCTTTCTCACACAAGAGGTAGAAGCAATACAAAATTATTCCCTCTACCCAGAGTATAGAAGTGCAGTGCTTCTGATAATGTGTTGTCTGATGTAATCACCTTTTGTGTTGATAGAATCCAGTAACCAAACTGTTCAGTGCTTTTAATGTTTATCAACTTGTCCTTGTATTATCAAGAGTTTACCATACCCAGATTTTCTGTTTTCTATGACATATAGTGGATCTAATGTAAATGTACTGGAAGACAAAATCTTTTTCATCTGCTTGGTTTGTTGCTCTATACCAGAACCTTTCTGATGGTGGTGTTATTCAAATGTGTCTTTGCTGTTTTTCAACATTTCTATCTCCTCATACATTATGGACATCAGAGCAGGTGAAAATATATTTGATATACCCAAACCCTCATTCCTTCCTTTTTCTCCTGCCATTCCTTCCATTTCATGTCAGTGGTTGATGAAAGCAAGACTGAGGGTTTCTGAGGTGTCTTTTGTGTTAGCAGTAGTGCCTCTAACTTCCTTTAACTATTTTAAGGTGGTCAACCTGTTCATTGCCTTGCTGCTGAGTTCCTTCAATACTGACGCCTCAGGGGGACAAGAGGAACCTGGAGAAGGGACTAAATGTCAGATTGCCCTTGCACAGATTTACAAGGGCCTGAAGTCTGTGAAAGACAGAATTCTGGATCCTTGTGGCAGAAAACCGAAAGGAAGCCTCAAAAAGACGGACAAAAAACAGACTTTGGTAGAAATTTCTGGCAAAAACCTAGAGGATAATAATTATGCCATGACAGATGTCAGAAAATATATAGACAACAATGGCTTTGACACAGAGTGTTACCATAATGAAGAGAATTCCTCAATATCATGGAAATATGAAGACCTTTCCAGCAGTCACAGTACCTGTGTTCCCATTGCAGCAGCAGAGAGTTACAGTGACCTAAGTGATGATGAGCACATTGTATTCCCAGAAACAGAACACAGAAAGCAGGTAAGAACTATTCATATTTAAAAGAAATACTGTAACTTACATCTGTAATTGTCATCTCAAAGGCTCAACAGTAAATGGTATCCCTTCTGTCATTTCTGCTATTTTACTTTCTTTGTTCTTCTATTGTAAGGGCTACCAAATAGTCTTCATTTTCCAAAGGGATTTTGAATATCCACTTTGTCACCATTCTTTTCATGGATAGCCATAATTCTGCTTTTGCCTGCTTTGTTCCCAACTATTGCTGTCAACAAATAAATGAAGTTTGAAGAAGACAGACATTCCTTCTTTTTGTCTCCTTTGTCTTACACTTGGATAGTGTCTAACACAGGCCTCTTCTGCTGCTTATATGTTGCTTTGCAGTTGCATGGAATACAAAGAAAATGCAAAGAAAAGCTGCACCTCAAGAACTAATTTCTTTTTTTTTAATTACCTCTTCACTTCTGTGATGCTTTGGACTCCCTTTATATCTTGTGATTTTCTTGCATCGGGCAGGATAAAGCTCAAGTCTTTCTGCATGTGACTCAGACATTTATACCGTCACGATTGTACAAAGGCATTTAGGGCTGTTTGAGATATTTCAGGTGTCTGTCACATCCACAAAGAACTGTCAAATAAGATGAAGGAGCTGTAGGAACTCTTTTCACAGAATTACAGAATTGTTTGGGTTGGAAGGGACCTCTGGAGATCATCCAGTCCAACTGCTCCTGCAAAAGCAGCGTCACCTAAAGCAGGTTACAGAATGTGTAAGGGTAGGTTTGGAATGTCTCCAGTGGTCAGTGTCTAAGTGGACTGCTGGGATGCATTTCCTATGGTTTTGGTCATATTAGGAAGCACTGTCAGTGGAATATCTTTGGACAAATTCTCAAAGAAGCAAAAATTGCTGATCAACTTAGAATCATCTATGGCCATTTCCAGTATGTTATCCAGAAGCACTTGATGACAAAAACTGCAGCAGTGGACTCTGGTCTTTCTTGGAATTTGTGGAGACAAAAGGACTGAGAATTGATTGGGATCACTTAGGTCTTCTGCCTGTAACTGGAAGCATGAGGCTGTTGGGGTCCAGCTGCAAAGGTTAATGGGATGCAGGAATCCATCCATGGGCTAAATGTATTTCTTGGGGAATGATACATTTCCCCAGTAAAACTACAGGGCATTGATATTTGAAACTGAGGAAGAAACCATTCTATTATAAGCATTTTGAGGATATCATTTAATTATCTGTAAAAAGACAAACATGCTAGTTAGTGGAAGGTTCTCTGCCTGTGACAGAAGGGTTGGAACGAGTTGATCTTTAAGGTCCCTTCCAACTCAAACCATTCTGTGATTCTGTGATTCTAATTTTTGTGGATGTTTTAGATTCTCTTATAGAATTCTGAATTTATGAATGACTGTTAGGGAGGAAAAATGTGGAAAATCAACTGTTTTACATTATTTCCTGCAGGGAGACAGACTAAGACATAGAGAACAGCAGCAGAGTTCAAGCAGCTTCAGTCAGATTTCTGGGACTCCTGAAACTATACATGTTTTCACAGTAACACATGAAAAGCAAGAGCAAAAAGAGGTAGTTCTAACTTTTATCATCTTGTGGAACATGCTAGAGATTCAAACTGTCACAGCTGTTCTCCCATTCAGAAATAACAGCACAGGCTGGGATTTTCTGAAGAGTTTTACAAGTGTGTAGGTTACCTACCAATAATGACAGTTCTTTGAGGTGTGTAGACAATACACACATTTCTATCATCCTAGGCCTTCCCATATTCAAGCCTTTTGAGACATGGTTTGTATTTCTGAAAAGAGAATTGGATTGGCCTGAAGAAGTCAGACTTTTCTCCAAAGTTGTAGCATAAGACAGTCCTTTTTTCCCTGCATTTCCTACTTAGATGACTAGAAGAAACCAAGAAAGTTATTAAATTAAAAATAAGGAAAGAAAGAGGGATTGGCTTTTTCTGTCCTATTATTTGTAATTTCATTTTAGTAGTTCAGCAAAAATAAGGTAATTTATAGACTGCAGAATTCTTTTGGGGAGGGGAGCAGGGGATGATAAATTTCACTTACTTTGGTTTGTTAACCTTATTAATGAAGAGCAAATAAATTCTCTTTCTCCTTCTTCCATGCAGAAATGTGGTGCTGCTTGTAGCTTTTCTGAAGCCAGCACTGTGGATCCAGCTGTTGGTCTGGAGATGGTTTCCCAGACTAAAAACTCACACCTGCCTAAGGACTGTTTTGGAGAAAGTAGGAATCTTTTCTGTATTCTGCTAACACCAAATGAACCAGTGTTGAAAAATATTCACTTGGAACATGTCCAAATTAGCAGAATCTGTTTTTCTGCTCATCCCAGTGTTGACATTTACCTTTGATTACCTGAACATCTCCTTAGACTCCGTTGACTCTCATGGTTCAATCCTGCTGCCTTTACAGATTCATGAAGAGTGTTTCTGGCGGAAAGCAGTGAACAGGGAGTGTAGTTGTAATGTCTCTGCAGTGCAAGAAAGTCAAATGATCAGTACAAATAATAACTGACTAACCTAGTAGTAAGGTAATATCTCTTTTCAAACAAAAAGAAGAAATGCAGATAATAAACATATACAGAAGTAAAGGTGCTTTTTTTTTGGTGCCCACAAGCCTTTCTGCAGAAGGGCACAAAAGCTTATTTGTTTTTTAACATGTGTGAGTTGCTCTATTAGAAGAGAATATTTTAGCATACAAATTTTGTCTTTTCTTTAGCTTTAGATCATTTCAACCATAGCATCACCTCATAGGTAAAACAACACATTCTTTCTCTAGTCAGTAGAAGCTCTCTCTAAGATGTCTTATACTTTTTTAATTCCATGTCTCAGCATTTTCCATGGAACCAACAGACTGTTCTTTCTCTTTTCAGATTGTGGTAAATGTTTCCCATGCTGTGTAGTGGATATCACTAAGTTTCCAGGCAGAAATTGGTGGAACCTCAGGAAAACCTGCTACAGAATTGTTAATCACTGCGGATTTGAATATTTTATGGTTTTTGTGATAGTACTGAGCAGCGCAGCACTGGTAAATTGCATTTAATTTCTCTAAATTTGAATTGATTGTTGTCAATAAGGAAAAATAATAGTATTTGATTGATTTCTTGTACTCTGACATTCCTTCCAGCAGGGAGAGATAAGAGGGATACATGTATCCCTCAGTGGTGATAAGGCTTTCCCGAACTTGGATAGGATATTTAGATATATGGATTTAACTATATGGAATTGTAGCTTTTCAAGGAATATGGTTCTTCATACACTTAAGTGTTAATTACAAGGCTAAAATAGAATCTGAAATTACTTAACACTTTTAAATAAAATAATAGCACTTCTAAATGTTTAAAACATTTTAAGAACATTATGATCAGAATCTAAAAGTGAAGTTGGCTGTAAACTGATAGGTGAGGTAATGTTGCTTTGCTACCCTGATCAGATCCATTTCTACTCAATAAGGGAACTTTTATGATTTGAAAACATATTCACTGTATACTAAAAGTAATTTTTTAAATAAAATGTTTTATAGTGCAGAAGGAACATAACCAGTTAGTCTGAAAGGGATCTACGTGGAAAATGTCAGAATTTTCCAAATAAAATCTGTTCTGTGTACATTAAGTTCAGGTTGTTCACTGAACTATAGATTTGAACTGTCTGCTTTAAAATTCCTGTGGCAAAGTGCCCAAGGGAAATCCCTGAGATTTCTGTGAGGGCTCCTCTCTATTCATGTGGAACCAAGCTGAAGTAAGCGTCATGCTTTTGCTTGTTCTGGAAAACTAAGAAGGAATTTTCCCTTCTCTCTGCCTACTGTGAAAGAGGGATGTTGAATGGGTAGGTTGGTTCTGCCCTGGGTGATTGATCAACACAAAAGAATTGACCAGTAGGTCCGCATTCCAGATTGATGGCCCTGAGAGTCTGTGGGGAGGGGTGAGGAGTTTTTTTTTTTTTTACTTTTTTTCTTCTCCTAGGAAATGGCACTCACTTGGTTGTTGCCTGAGCTGGGAGAAGGTCTGGGTGGCAGGAGCTCCGAGGTTGCTTTGTTCTCAGCCTGAATGCCTGGCAGGTGGTTTTTTTTTGTTCTCCTGGCCCTGGTTCACCTGTGCCGTTTTCTGCCCCAGCCCAGAACCTGCTTGGATTTTCATCAGAGAGGAACTATTCGGGAAGGAGGTCACCTTCTTTCCCTCCTCAGTTTCTGTGTTTTTTTGACAGCGGTTCTCTCGCACATCAAAGGAGAGGGGAAGCCACACGGTGCAGCTAGTAGACAGTTCCCATTAGGAAGAACCCTTTTTTCTCCTTTTTTCCCTCTCCCGGTGAGGGGGAGGGAAAACCTCCATTTTCGACTTCTCCAGGACACCCCGGGGGCCCCCCATGGGGTGACCACCAGTGACCCAACAGCACCCCCTACTGACTGCGGTTAGAATTGCACCAAAGGGCACGAACGGAACTGTTTACCTTTTTTTGTTTGTTTGTTTTGAAGGAGATTATTATGGATATAGGATTATAGTCTGGTTGTTTTATTTGTGGTCTTTCGTTGTTCTGATCAATACACATATATCTTTTAATAAAGGGCTGTTATTTTTCCTTTTTCCACACTTTCTCAATTGGAGCCTCTTAATTTAGGATTTGTAAGTGCTTAGAGGGAGGAGTTTGGGTCTTCCTCATAACTCATCCTCGGCAAAACACTTGTGTCTCATTAAACTGAGACAGTAAGGAAGGAAACTGAGGTATTCTTTCATGTACTCTAGGTTCTACTAAGTTGAACACAAAGCTAATTGGTACCCAGGTGCAAAATAATAAAACAATAACATTTTCTTGTCATCAAAGATGTTTAGCAGTGAGAACTTTCAGATTTCTAAGATCCTGTTGTCTTCTTGCAAAAAGGTACTTGTCCGATTTTTGTTTGGTTGGGGTTTTTTTTTGTTTATAAAGCTGTATGCTGATAGGGAATTTTCTGCACCAGTTAGAACAAAGGGACACCATGGTGTCCATGCCTTGAAAACAAATTAAAGGAGATGGTGATCACAGAAAGAATGCACAAAAAAGTCCAGGGTGAGTGCTCAGGGCTCAGAGCAAGGCAGGAGTAGTTAGGAACTCAAGTAGTTTCTGACTTGTTTAAGTAGCAGCAATTAAGAGTAGCTAGAATCTTAAAAAAGGTAGGAAAAAAAGTAGTCAGAAGTATGAAAAAGCATCACTGCTAATGAGCAGGTGGTTTGACTGGCAGATGGAGATCAAGGCAGCCAAAGTGTAATAATGGCCAGTCTTCGCGAGCGAAGATCCGGGGAAGGTCTTTCCACCTTCCAGCCTGCGCATTGGATTTTTTTAGGTGAGACACAGTGTGCGCGGAACTGAGCCCACCCTTTAATCCTAAGGTTCATCTGCCGGGGCCAAGCGAGCTTGGACGGTGGCAGCGAGGTCCTCAGGACGTAGGTGGGTTGCCTTTAAGGGCTAACGAGCCCCACCTGCCCGGGAGTGGCCCTGACCGGGAATCGAACCCGGGTCTCCGCGGTGATAGCGCGGCGCCTTTACCACTAGACCAGCAGGGGCTCATTATTATTACAGCCAAGGTGTAGCAGGGAATAAAAGGACACATTATCAAACTTGCTCAGGAAAAAAAGGTCAGAAATGGTAAATCGGTTTATGTGCATGAATGCCAGAAGTTCTCATTTACCCACACTCAAATGAAAGTCCCATGGACACAGGGACAGCTCTGCTCTGTAGGCATTTCCCCTAATTGTGGCACAGCTGGAAGACCCCTAAGCTCCAGAAGAAGCATCACTGTTTTCTAACACTGCAGAACAGGAGTGCATAAGTTTATTTGGGTTATACATTGGAGCATCTCTGCTCCATGTTTTTTCACTGGTCTATGCTCCTGCTCCACCTTTTCCATGGCCAGTTAGACTGGATTTTTAGGCATGTCTTAACTGCAGGGAGGCAAATAAGATCTGCTGTAATACCTAAATGAAATGGAGATGGGGCTATAAGGTAGAGGAGAAGTGCTTGAAAGGAGGAATAAATACATTTCCTGAGGCTTGGTGAGGAAATAATGCAAGGTGTAAAAGGAATTGGGAGCGAATTGGCAATATCAAAAACTTAAAATTAATTAGCAAGGCATCAAATGCATTAAACACAAGCAAACACTGATGTGAACAGCAGCAATCAATAAAACATTTTCCTAAAACCTCAAGGTCAAGGTTTAGGTGAAGAAACCTGTAACTCCAGGAATGAACAGTTCCAGATAAGGAGTTTGTCATATTTTTTCATGTGTGTATTACAACTCTGCAGGCTGACTAAAGATGGAAAGTCAGAGTCTAAAAGACATTGGTTAACGTGTTTAAGTTAGGCTTTATTGTGAAGATATTTAGACCAACACCTTCAAAATTATCAACTACCTTGGGAAGCCAGACTGTGGTAGCCACAATTGCCTGTCCTCAGACATGTTTTGCAATGTCGAGCATAAAAACCTGAAAGCATGTGATTTTTCAAAACCTGAAAATGAGATTGCACTTATTTTACAATTTAGTTTTTTACTTCTAAGTATAAAATTAAGTGGTGGTTGCCCACAATGTAATATGAAATGGTTGTAATCAGACAAACTATAATAAGACAAACTGTGTATTCTTGTGCAATTTAAAAATAATTTTCCATACAACTACTGACCTGTTTTAAAACTGAATTCTGAAATTCCAGGCATTTGAAGATATTCACCTGAAGAATAGAAAAACAGTGAAAATGATTCTAGATTATGCTGACAAAATATTTACCTACATCTTTGTGATGGAGATGCTTCTGAAATGGGTAGCTTATGGATTGCACAGTTACTTCACAAATTCCTGGTGTTTGCTTGACTTCGTCATTGTATGTGTAAGTATTATATTCAGCTTGTCATACATTTTGATTTTTGATATTTTCTCTCTGGATAACTATGTGTAACTTCTGATTGTGAATAACTACAAGTGTGATAGTTTCCGAAAGGTGTCCAAACAGGCTTTAGGACAAATTTAAATGGAAATTTTCAGCAATAGCTAGAAGTTGCTTCAGAAAATTTTATTAGGCATTACCATCATTGAGGACCATGATGGCTCTAAAAACCTATTCAAGTGGAAAGTAGGAGTTAAATTAGTGATCAGAAATAAAACTAAAATAAATTCCTTAAAACGATAGAAAAATGTGAATCTACTGGCAGTTCTGGACTAGATGATCTTAAAGATCCCTTCCAACCCAAAGCGTTCTGTGATTCTGTGATTTGGACATTTAGAAACAGAAAAATAGGTAGAATTGCTTCCTTGAAGGACAAGAAACTTAGACAGTAAAGGGAGTTGAAAAAAAATCATTTACGAGAGTGTTAAAGACATAGAAAAGTACCTTTTGTTTTGCAAGAGAGAAATCCCAGCAATCCTTTGCATATCTATAAAGGTAATGCTGAAAATACCAATAGTGAGGTAAGGGCAGTATTCAATTCCTACATATTTATTATGAATTCAGACAATATTAATTATTATAATCTTGCCATATAAAAATGAAACATCTATACTCGTCAACGTCACACTGGGAAGGTTCTGAAGTGTTTTTAAAAAAGGACATGTAAACAGATGACTGATAGTAACATCAGAGTAGTTGCTTGATGGCCTCAGCATTGAAAGTTGTGAAGTAGTAGGAAATTTCAACAGAAAAATCTAATAGTATAGCTATTTATAAAGAATATGTAGCATGACTTTCACAATTACTGTTTCCTAATCTTAAAAGCAGTGCTCTCCAAAACAGGGGAAAGCCATGAAAATATATGAACCATTAAAAAAAGAAAAAACAAACCCAACCAACACCCTCCCCCATTTCAAATTAGAATGAAGAAATCATTTTTTTTTTCCCCATATATTAGAAAAGAATGAAGTAAAATTGCAATAACTTTGAATTTAATGTGTATTTTCTTAATGTGACTTACTGGTCAAAGATATTGTACCATTCAGGTAATGATTGTTTGCTAACACAAACAAGGGAAATTTTGTTTACCATTTAATAATCCCAGTTCCAATTTTGTAAGCACAGCTGTCATTTGTTTCCTGGGGACCAAATCCTGATACTGAAGACAAGGCACATTGTTCCTCTGGGAGTGGCCTGAAATCTCTCAGGACTCTTAAAGCATTGAGGCCTCTACGAGCTTTGTCAAGATTTGAAGGGATAAAGGTAAAGATATTGGGGGTCGGTGTGAATATTTTGTAATGGCTGAAGATTTTTAAGAAAATGACAATATAAAATGCATTATTATTTTCATTCATTTCCTTCAGGTTGTTGTCAATGCACTCCTCGGAGCCATCCCCTCAATCTTCAATGTTTTGCTCGTCTGTATTGTCTTTTGGCTTCTATTTAACATTCTAGGAGTAAAATGGCTTGGGAAAAGATTTTCAAAATGCATTCTCCAGGAAGGAGATATCAGTCTCATTAATAACAAAAGTGATTGTTATGCCTATGGTGGAAATTGGACAAATTATCCTGTAAACTTTGATAATGTTGGGATAGGATACTTGGCTCTGCTCCAAGTGGTAAGTTCCATAAAAACATTCTCAGTTTTGGTTTCTTCAAGGAAATGGGTTGAGCAGCCCAACCATGGGACACCACTATGCTTCTGTTTATCCCATGGGAACTGGGGATTTTTTTTTAACTTCCATATACATGTTCCTTATTGGTGACCTGCTCAGTTCCTCCTAAAGAACACCTGAGCATGTGCAAGCTTGTGTTAAAATCAAGAACTCTGTTTCATGGCTTTTCAGTTTTGTTTTCATTTTGATTAACACACTAAGCCTGAAATATTCTGCAGGTTACTGAATTTAAAGTTATTCTCATTTTGTCTAGTTCAGAATGGATGAGAAAGAAAATCAGGGCACAGTTTATTTATATTTTCTTTTCCTGTGGAAGTCATGAAGAAGAGGGATACTAATTTAATCAGCTCTCTAACACCACAACAAAGGAGAAAAAGGCATGTTTTAAATTGGTTGTTATCCCTGTATCTTTTTTTGATGAAGTTCTATATCCTGGATCCTCCAAAGTATTCTATGATTCTTCAGAGTTGCTAAAAATTGTGGGAAGGATATGTCCTCTTGTTTTCTTAGAAATTTTTTTTATCCTTTTACAATATATTTGCAAGTTGAAAATTTTTTTGCAAGCTAAACGTTTTACTTTTTTTTCATAAAAAAATTTAATTTAACAAGAATTAACAATAAGACGCTTTTCACAGGAATAATGTGGGGGTTTTGTTTTAGGAAATATTTTTGTTTGTTTGTTTTTGTTTAGTTTTCAGAAAGTTCTTTTTTTCTCTTTACTACACTCTAGTGATAATTCCCAGCAGATCTTTAGAAATTATACACATTTTTATAGCAAACTGCTCATGTTCCACAACTATTAACACATTTATATAAACTATACCTAATTTTTTTTTCTTATCTATAAAATCTTAATAATGCATCTTTTTTAGGCAACTTTTAAAGGTTGGATGGATATTATGTATGCAGCAGTGGATTCACGCGAGGTATGTCATTACAATGAGGTTTTAGTTCTTTTCCCTTTTCTTCTTCCATTTCCATCCATATAATTACTTTCTCATCTTTGTTTGCAATATCAAGTGGTCGAATGCATCAGACTACAGAGTGAAACAATAATCCTTGGAGAAACAAAAATCTGGAACTTAGACAAAAGAAACTGGTCAAAGTAGAGTGACACCACACAAAAGCCTGCTTTTTTAATGCGTAGAAATAATCCTTCATGACAAAAAGAAAAAATTTTTGTTATATAAATTGGAAATGGTAAAGCTGTGATTATCTCCTTTTTACCAAAATTATTTTTTTTGTTTGACTTTTTTTTAACAGATCAATGAACAACCAGAGTTTGAAGCAAGCTTATACATGTACACATACTTTGTGGTTTTCATTATTTTTGGATCTTTCTTCATGTTGAACCTTTTTATTGGAGTGGTTATCAGCAATTTTAACCAACAAAGGAAAAAGATAAGTACTATGGAGCTAACTCAGGGTCTCCTGGAATCCCAATTTGATTAAGTGAACAATGGTGGTTAAGGAACAACGGTCACACTTCATTCTAAGAATTTCCTTTTCTAACAAAGTCCCAGTTACGATAATTCAACCAGATAGAAACAAAAGTCATGAAGTAGTTTATGAGCCTGAACATTTACTGGAAGTTTATGTGGATATAACACTTTTTTCTTAGTATATTCTGTGATTGGCATTTTTTTTCTTTTTCAGTTTTCCTCTTTCATTTCTTTGCTGTTTCTTGGGAATTTTCCTTGTGATTCCACATAGTGGAAGTCAAATGGAATTTTCAGAGGTCTTGCCAGAGTGACTGAAATTGCAGATGCCCCAGTAAACACTGTTGTGTGTTTGTTGTACAAAATGCTGATCACTCAGTGCTTTTATGACTGATGAGTGGCTTCTGAATCCTGGGTTCAAAGGGATTGCTAAATACTGCAGGGGGTGTAGATGGGGACAAGTGATACAGGGGGTGTAGATGAGAATAAGGAATTGGTTGTCAGGAACCCCCTGTAGAACTGGGTCCCATCATCCTCCATTTACCTGCTAGTCCAGCAATACACTTTTCTTTCTACCTTCCCCAAAAATAGAGAGTATTTCCCTTCCTGATGAATCATATGTAATTTTTAAAATATGAAATAGATTTGTAAAACTTCAGAAAGGCTCTCACACTTGAGGGAACTGACTTGGGAACACTGCCTAGACTAGACTTTCAGGATCAAACCCAGATCAGCTCTTTCCAGTACGTCTGTTTCAAAGATCAAGGTGAAAAGGAGAAATGGTGAAGACACAGTTTGTCTCTGTGCTCTCTTAGGTCCCACTCAGGACAGTTGTAAATTACTCTTTTTTACAGAAATTTCCTGGTATTTCTTTAGGGAACTGCTTAAACTTCAGCTGAACAACAATATTCTTTCCCTTTACTTAGGTGGAAAAGATCTATTTCTGACTGAGGAACAGAAAAAGTACTATAATGCCTTAAAAAAGCTTGGATCCAAGAAACCTCAAAAACCCATCCCAAGACCATCGGTGAGACCATCTTAAGTAGAACATGACAGAAGATACAACGATGGTGACCATATTTGAACTCAGTAGCCCAGGCACAGGGAAATAAACTCTGCATTAGAGCCCATCATCTTCTTTATTCCAGTGTAGTATTTACATTTTACTCTTTCTTAATTCCTCCTAAAAGAGTCTTTCTTTGTGAGCATTAATTAGGGAAATTTATATCCTATTTGTTACCTATTAAAATATACAACCTGTTTATACAGGTTCATATTAAATATTTGATAATCATGCCATTACCTTTTGATTACTTAGGTTGCATGACGTTGCTTCTCTAACTAGGTTGGATTATTGCAGGTGAGAATGAATAGAGACCAGGACATGCTCCATGGCAGTTATTCACTTTTAAATAATCTTATGCTTTATTTCTTTTAGTTTCTTAAATTTATTTCCAGGCTTGGATTTTCATAATAACTATTCAGAGTTTTTCTTGCTTATGACATTTGAATTTGAATTGCTTATCCTTCAATGAGGATTTCTATTAAAGAGCAATCACAGTGTACTCTGAATGTTTTCCTGAAGTATATATATATATATATATACACATATAAGCGCCCATACCCTTGTTTGATGCCTGAATATACTTAGCCAAGTACTGTGAGTTTTCACTGAAGATCTAAAGAAATCACCTAAAATTTAAGTAGATTATTCTTAAATTTATGTTACCTTCAGTTCTTGTTCTAAGCACAAATTACTGATTAATATTTGAAGGCAGGCTGGGTCCTAGAAGTAGCATCAAGCATTTCTTGTTCTCTCCACAGAATGCGTTCCTGGGATTGCTGTTTGATATTGTAGAGCACACAGCATTTGACATCATCGTTGTGATTTTGATCTGCCTAAACATGGTTGTTATGATGGCAGAAAATAACCAGGAAGGCACCAAGGAAGTTCTTAATAAAATCAACTACTTTTTTGTGGCTGTATTTACGGCAGAATGTGTCATGAAAATACTGGCCTTAAGACAGCACTACTTCAAAAGCGGCTGGAACTTATTTGATTTTAGTGTTGTGGTCCTTTCAATAGTCAGTAAGTACCAATCACTAAATCAGGTAATGTGTCATACCAATATTGAGCCAAATTTCCTTATGAACTAACCACTTAGATATGTTTGATAAACAAATTCCAGATCCACTGTACTTTTTCAAAGTATATGCTAAGTGATTCCTTCTATATTCCTTCCTTTTTTTCCTTTATATTTTTGCATAGTGCTAAAAGGTAAATAGAGTTTTCAATCTTTATTTTTCTTAAAATATGTGTTTTATTGAGTAATTAATAGTATAGGAACCTTATTCACTAACATCTTCACTAAGTTATTGTTCTTAAATGGTTATCTGACTGTTTTTATGCTTTCAATTGACGTGTTATCATGGTAACTATTGTTTTCACAGTAAAAGTAAATTCATGTTAAAAATTCATTTGCATGAAAAATGAGAAAGATTTATTTATTTCACCAGGACTTCTTTTAAAGAAGACAGATCCCGATTGCTGATTTAGAAAGCTCAGGAAAATGTAGTTGCTCAGCACCATTCTAAATCTGGGACACTATCTGTGACTGTGAAAAGTCTCATTTAAACTGGCTTGGGGTTTTCTGGCTTTGCAAATAAGACTAGATGCTGATCATTTCCTCTACAAAGGGCTGTGTATAGCTCTAGTTTCTTGTACAGTTTATTTGGTCTGTGCTTCCCACTCAGGCTCAGGTTATAGCACAGAATAAAGGACAGGAAAGACAAACTGCTCTGGGTTCTCTGTTTCCTGACTAAGCACAGTAACCCTTTGCTGTCCTGTGCAACCCAGGAAAATGATGACTCCTTAACTCCTCTGCTTGTAATCATTTGCGTTGCTCTGTACCATTGCTCTGTTCGTAGGGTCAAAGAACGGGGTATAATGGGGGATAAGTATTAAGAGACAGTTTTCCTTTACATTCATTTTGGTCTTCTCTGACTCTCCTTCAAGTACCAAGCATTAGTCAAAGCCTCACATTTAGCATGTGAGCAGGCCTGTAAAGAAGCAGCAGATGACAGCTAGCAGGCAATCCCCATAACTTCCATCTCGGGAGATGAATGGAGCTAAAAGGATTCTTAAGAATTTGAGCAATGAATGTGTAACTTCACCACCCCTGAAGTTTCCAAATGATGCATACTCTTGATGTCTCTTTAATACTGAATAGTATTAAAATTAGTCTTTCTTTTCCTAAGCTGTTTTGTAAGCAGGTGCAGTACTGATGATATATGTGTGGAAAGCAGTGTAACATGGTCAGTGTTACTTCTAAAGCACGGACTATAACAACTATATACCTAAAGCACAGACTATAACAAAGCAGACATAAATTTGACTAATATGAAATGACAACATTTTGTTTTCTTTCTCTCTTCAAAGGTATTGGAGTTTCTGAAGCTTTCCAAAGATTCTTCTCTCCTACACTTTTGAGAACCATTCGCTTGGCACGAATTGGCCGAATCCTGAGATTGGTTCGAAAAGCGAGAGGAATTCGAACCCTTCTGTTTGCATTACTGATGTCTCTTCCTGCACTGGTCAACATTGGCCTTTTGCTTTTCCTGATTATGTTTATTTATGCCATTGTGGGCATGGCAAACTTTGCCTGTCTTCCCTGGGAAAGTGGGATTGATGACATTTTCAATTTCCAAACCTTTTCTGGTAGCATTCTCTGTCTCTTCCAAATTACAACATCAGCTGGCTGGGATACTCTTCTGGCCCCTTTGTTAAGTGAATCTGGTGCATGTGCTCCCAACCTAGATTTAAAAGAGAAAGATAAAATTAATTGCAAAAACACAGCATATGGTATTTTCTATTTTGTAAGCTATGTCATTATCTCATTTCTCATTGTTGTAAATATGTACATAGCTGTCATTTTAGAGAACTTCAATGTTGCCACTGAAGAAAGCACAGATCCTCTTTGTGAGGATGACTTTGATATGTTTTATGAGACATGGGGAAAATTTGATCCACTGGCAACAGAATTTATTGACTATTCTGCTCTTTCAGACTTTGCAGATGCTCTGGCAGAACCTTTGCGCATTCCAAAGCCTAATAACATCCAGCTCATATCCATGGACCTCCCTCTAGTGAGTGGAGATAAGATCCACCACTTGGATATCTTGCGTGCTTTCACTAAAAGAGTCTTGGGAGAATTTGGAGATTTGGATAGTCTTGAATTACACATGGAAGAAAAATTTGTGGTTGCCAATCCATCTAAAATTTTTCAGAAGCCAATTTCTTCCACTCTTAAACGAAAACAAGAGGAGGTATCAGCAGTTATTATCCAAAGGGCCTTCAGGAGGCATTTGATACAGCGTTCATTCAAAAATGCATCTTTCTTTTGCCGTCACAGACATAACAGTGCTGTCTTTGGAGAAGAAGCACGGGAGAAGCAAAGGCTTATTGTATCAATGCTTAATGAAAGTAGTGGCAGGAAGATACATAAACCACGGTCTTTTTCTTCCTCATCTCTCCCTTGACTTTATGATGCTATTAGACCATTATAAGCTGGACACATAAGGTTACCCCAGGCTGCAGCATTTTTGACATGTAAACCAAAGTCACTTATTTTGAGATGGAGGCCATGTGTGAATCCCAGAGCATAATACTCTAAATTTAGAATAATGATGGCAACCTTGAAGTATTCTGATTGTTCAAATTTGCAAATTCTCCTTAAAATGATTAGGATCTGAACAACTATGTCATAAATGATGGAGGAAAATCGTACAACTTTTTTCTCAGCTACTGGAGTAGGTGTGTTCATTTTTTCACCTGCCAGTTTTGTCCTAGTTCATGTGTTTACAGAGAAAATCTGTAAAAGGTCAGTTGTAAGCACAGATTTATAAACACAAAAAGCTCTAGAATATTTTATATCTCTTTAGAGATAAACATTATTTCCAACCAGGCTTTATTCTATCAAAAATAAATAATCACTGCACTTCTGTAAAAGAGCTCATTCAGGACACTTCAGTAACAATCAGCCACTAATTTTGATGGTTTGGGACCATCTCCTCCTAGTGCCTCTGGGTGGATTTGTTTATGCTTAAGAATTTTTGAGGTGTCTTTATATGTGCACCTTAATGGATTTAACAGATCATCCTCAGTTGCCTGTGCATAAAAGTTGTATATAATTTGTTCTTTGTATAATTTAGCATATGAAAATTGTCATAATCATAGTTACCAAAATCAAAGAATGTTATACAAAAGGTATTGCTTCCAGAATATATTTAGAATCATTGTACATAAAATTTCATAATCAACTGAATGTCACAGAAAGCCTTACTTAGTAATCTTAGTAATATGAGGCAACATTTAATAAAAGTTAGAGGAAGCATTTATTTGATTGATTCTTAAAAAGAAAGTATGAGCAATGAGTATTCATATTTTACTGATTTTTTTTGCATTTTAGCTTATTCAGATGAAGTGTCAGGGTGGATTCAGAACCACTAGTAAAATATGACTGGTTTAGATTCTTCAATAAAGAGTTCAGATGCTTAACATGTTTTTGTCTGTTTTGTAAGGAGTATCTTCAGTTTCATATGTTACAAGAAATAATCTGTTCTTAGAGGGGTAGAACCACAGTAATACAATTTTCCAAAAGTCGCTACCTATTACCACAAGAAAACTGAAAATGTTTCACTTTTTACAGGGAAGCCAGAAAATATTTAGCATTTATTGGCCAAGAATAGCAGGAACAATAAGGTAATTACTTAATTTTTACTGTCATTTCCCAGGTTAAATACTATTAAAATATGACAGATATTGTTAAATTTAAGTTAATTTCAGGACAAATAAAGGCACAGGAAATCGAAGAGTTAAAAAGTTCAGATACAGTATGGTTTGAACGGGCTTTGTTATGGTTGAGCACTGACTCCTCAGGGAACTGGTGGAATCACCATCCCTGGAACTGTTCCAAAAACAAGTGGATGTGGCACTTAGTGCTGTGGCTTAGTGGGCATGGTGGTGTTTGATTAAAGGGTTGGACTTGATCATCTTGGAGGCCTTTTCCAACCTTAATGATTCTATGATTACTTCCAGAACCAGCTGCAGTTCAGAAAAAAAAAAAATGGCTGATGAAGAAGGTTTGCAGCCCTCTTAGCTTAAGTCAGGAATTTGTGCTTGGGAGCTGCAGCACTGGGCAGAGGGATGCAGAGATATTTGGTGGCTCTGCTTGAGATCTGCTCCTGTCTGGATTGGGTTGTTTCACGCAGAGTGATGCTTGTGAGGTGAAACTATTTCTTTTGTTCTTTGAGAGCTGGAGTGAGCCGACAGCTTTTGTTCAGGGATCAGGTACCGTTAGATGGCAGCATTTGCTGTTGTTTAAAATGTGGCCAATCTTCAGTGAAACACGTGTCAAAGTTGCACACTTCAGCACAAAGGTATTAAACTGATTGCAAATAAGTTAGAAAAAAGGGTCAAAACTCTTTTTTTTTTTTTTCTGTCCAGTGTTTTCAAGTTAGCCACAGTTCTCAGTAGGTGCTTTTTCACTGACTGTTCTGGCTTTTGATAGACCTTAATGACTGTGGGGTAAAAAAAAAGTTCTCCTGTGTCCTTGGGCTTTCTGGAGGGATAGTTTCAAATATATCTTTATATATAATATAAAGGAAATGTTTCTTAGACAAGAGGTAAGAATGCTTTCCTCTTGCATACTGAAAAAGAAGGAAAGACTGGAAAACCCATATAAGAGGCTTTCAACACTAATCACTCTATCTTTGCAATTTAAATTATTTGTTTGAATGCAACACCAGGTTCTCTGCCCTGGATCATAATTAGAATTACTTCAACGATGAACACTTTATTTCCATGATAAGGGCAGCAGTTTTGGGCAAAATCACAGAACACAGCCTTAGTGATTATTTTACCTCAACAAAACACAAAAGCACCTGAAGTCACCATAGAGCAAATTTAGAAGTCTGACCAATGCTTTAATATTGCTTAAGCATTAAAACAGCCTTAGCATGCAATTGCAGGGTTGAAAGAGAATGGTGATATCCAGCTGTTGCAGCTTTTTTGTGCTACAATTGCCCAAAAGGCACTGCTGAGGCAATGCAGAGTTTCTTTAAGAAGTCTATGCATGGTGGTAAACAGGTGGGAGCTTTTGGCAATTCTGGTATCTGGAACTGTGAATTCCTCCAGGTTAAACTGCCTGGATATATGTGAACTTCAGGAGAAGTGGTCAGGCACGCTTGGAACACAGCAGAAGAGTATTCCTTTCTGTCTGTGAAGGTGACACTTAAATCAGAGAACAGCAGAAACAAAGGAATATTGGATGACTCCAGTTAGGAAACACTGTGAATGTAAAGCTCCTGGGGAATTCCTGAGGGTCAGCAGTGTAATACAAACTAACCTTTCTCCTTAGTCGTGGTGCAGACCTTCGTGTTACATTTCCCTGTATCACTTTTCCTGTGTAGAAATAATATTCAACTGACCCATGGTAAGTAAGAGACTTTTCCTATTTTGTGGTAGCCTTGTATCCCTGAAAACTGACTCCATGAAGGGTTTGTGGTTCTTCCTTCCACACTATTACCTACATATAAAAGCCAAGTTACTTAACATGCACTTAAGTTTGGGCTACCATCCCACAGCTGATGGCAGCTACCGTATTTAAACACAATTCCTTCATCTTTGTAACATTTTCCATAAGGGAAGAACTACTTGACTTCCTCTCCCTTCTCCTTTATTCTCATTCCTGAACAACTAGGATGGTTTCTTCAGTTACTCCCAGGTCTTGGTAGCTCTATTCAGTTTTAGCAGCTTAACAGTTGCTGAATTCACAAATTCCTAGTTATTAATAGTTTTAAGTAGCATTATAAGAGTCATTGCCTATCTTGCATTTCATGAACGTCAAGACCAATAAGGAAACATAACAGGGAATTTAGAATGGAGTATCAGCAATCCCATCACTTATCACAGTATCTCATCACAGATTCAAGATAAAGGTAAGAAAATGACACAGATTGTAAATACCAATCAAGTAACCATGCAATGATCCTTCCCCTTTACTATCCCTGAGTGTCATAAATTTTGAACAAGGGGAGGCTACCCTGAAATGAGAACTTAGAAGAACAAGAAATGGTACAGCTGTAAGGTCAGATTGATTGTTTGGAAGCAGCTGGTACAAAAGAAAACTTGAACAGGAACTAGTCCTGCAGGAAAAGAGAATGGAGATGGATGGGGAGATGAGATGAAATTTGGATGAGAAAGGACTATCTGGTATGTTGAATATACACTTCAGGAATCACTGGGCAATCATGTATTTCCTACTAAATCTAGGCAGGTTGAAAAGAGCCTCCATTATGCTTTCCCTGCCTACACAGCAAGCAGAAGATTTTAGTTCCAGAAGTGAAACTATATAGTAAAAAAAGACTTCACCAGTATCTTAGAGTTCTATATGCCTAAGAAATACATAAGCAGTTCCTAGAAAACTATTTGATTGTTCTACACTGGAAGGCAAACCATCCAATATTTCTGATATTTTGATCAGAAGGAAAATTCCCATTTCATCCTCAATCTGGCAACAAAAAGGTCTAAGTTTTGCTTTCAGCTGGCACATAGTGTCCCAGTTTCTCTCAGGTTTTACTAATTTAATCACAGCTTTTCAATTGTCTACTATCAAGTGGTAGTCATAAATTATTAAGAATCAAATTCCACATCTGTTGCAGATTAATGCAACTGGAGAATTGTCCAGTGTTGAGTTCCTCACAACAAGGGACATACTGGAGCTTGCCAGTTGGAGGGCCATCAAGATACTGGATCGTGTCAGATAAGGAAAGATTAGTTCAGAATTAAGAAGAAAAAGTGAAAGTGTAGATCTTACTTTTGATTTCAAATACCCAGTGGGTGGTTTTGGATAAGTGAGAGCCAAACTCAGATGTACACAGTGGTACAGATAGAAGACAGCAGACGCAAGTTCCAACAATGGAAATTCTGATCAGACGTTAGGGAATAAACCCCACCGTGAGGGTGGATAAACTCTGGAACTAATGATAGAATCACGGAACCCTGGAATGGTCTTGTTTGGAAGGGACCTTAAAAGATAATGTAGTACAATCCACCTGCATTGAGTGACACCTTCAAGCCATGAAACACTAAGAGATGTTGGAACATCTCTGTCCTTGGAGAAATTCAGAACTTGACTGGACAAGACACTGACCAGCCTGATCCAGTTCCAAACTCACCTTTGAAGGTGTATCTGCCTTGAGGTGACTTAGTTGAACCTCAGAGGTCCCTTCCAACCCAAATTACTCTGTGGTTCCATAACAGCAGCCACAGCTTCTCAAACTTAAAGATTATGGCTAAACAGCCACATTAATCAACAACCTGGGTGTTATCTGGGAGTCTGAGTCTATCAATCAACACTATTGTGGGCATGCAGTTCTAGTTTCTGTGTACAAGAGGGTGACAAATTAGTGCAAATTAACGAGAGATTTCTTACCTGTCCAACCCTGGGAGCCAAATGATGAGTCAACTGTGACTTCTG